TGTGTTGTGAGTGTATGTATGAGTGTGCAGGTTAACATGGAATGATTCCCAGTGAGTGAGCGAGGCCCCCAGACGGCCGGGAGAGCCCCGACGGGTCATGGATCCAGCCGCCCCACAGCGGCCAGGTACCCGGGCCCCCCGCCACCGGATGGCTGCGCGCCCACCCAAGGAAGGCAGGGGGGGGAGGCACCGGGCGCCCCCCACCGGCGAGCACGAGCCAGGGACCCCACGGCCACTAAGGTGTCGTTGAGATATGGGGGAGCATATGGGGAAAAGACACCCACCGGCCCCCCCAAGCCCTAAGTGTCTAAAGTGGAGTTAAAATAGAGGGGAATTCCTGACTGAAGTCCCCTGAGGCATTCAGGTGTGATGCTCTTCACCTAAAGAAAGTTACTGAAATACTTAATGATGTGAAACAGAGAAAGTCAAAATTGTATAGGAAAGTCCAGAGAAAATGATCAATATTACAGTGTTTCAAAAGATCCTGCAAAGATTATATGTATTCTAATTAAAAGCATAATAGATAGGCTGGTATCTCTGGGACGAGTTGTCCGGAGGGACCAGCACAGCACAACTGATACCATCTTCAGCTCATATTCACTGAATAGGTAGTGAAACAAGACAGAAAGACTCAGGCTGTAAGACGGAAGGAGAGAGCGAGAGAGCGAAACAGGAAGTGTCATGAAACGGACGAGACAAGTGTGAAGGCGTGGCCGGCTGGTTTAAAAAGCCCAGCGGGGTCAGCGCCGGCAGACACACTCGCACATGTGCTAACACTCCACTCTGCCCTGCTCTACGCCGTGCACACTACAGCGTGCCCTATGCCGAACTCTACAGCACTGTCTACACCAGTGTTTTCAAAGACAACACTGTGCCCGGCTGCAGCGCTGCAGACATGAGCTCTTCTCACGCCTGCTGATCATCTCCACTTTTTGGGGATTCATCTTTATTTGTTATTTTTACAAACTGCACTGCACCCGCCATCCCTGCTCCGCCCGTCGGCCCCATGGAGGGAGCCTCCGTATCTCCCCAGGTGTTTGTGGTGGACAGCCAGGCCGGCCCGCTGCCGCGGCCTGCCGCCTCTCCCTGGCAGCTCAGTAAGACGGCCTGCAGACTCCTCTTTCTGCTGGTCTTCCTGGCTCTATTCGGCATGGCTGTGGAGGCCTGCTTCGTCTACTACCTCTTCAAGCACTCACCGTCATCGCTGCAGGTGAGCCCAGCCGACTCTCAGGGCACTCATGCTCCTTTGTGCCCGCGCTCAGAGGCAGTGTGAGCGAGCAACAGGCAGTGGGGCAAGCAGGTGGAGGTGCGAGCGGGCGGGGGTGCAAATGTGCAGCTGGCGGGGGTGTGATTGCGCAGCTGGCGGGGGTGTGATTGTGCAGCTGGCGACAGTGCTCTCGGGCACACAATGCACACGCCAACCGCTTATTCCATTGGAAACTTCACCGCTCGTTCTGCTCATGAATGGCCTGGAGTACGAGTATCGGTGTGAGGATCAGTATGACTTATTACTAAGGTATTACATCTGCTGGATGCCATCTGCAGACAAGTGAGGAAGTGTCACTGAGGTCAAGGTCACATTGAAAGTGTGTGCAGAACTGAAAGTAAGTAAGAGTGACATTAAATATTTATGTAAGATTTGCTGAATTTGTATGGTGTCTGAGGTTCTGCAGGGCTGCCTGTCCCTAATTGTAAAGGGGAACCTTTATCAGTTCCCATGTGCTGGGGGGTGGCTTCTTCGCGGAACAGATAAGATCAGCCCATTTGTCTGTTTTGTTGTCAGTCCCCCCCCCCGCCCATCCCCATCACTAGGGCGCCCACAGGGGCATGACTTGCCCGGCACACTTGTGAAACAGCTTCCTGAATCAAGGTGGGGGTTTGACAGCACCCCCCACACACAAGCACACCGCTGTTTTCTGTCGTGTTTTCACACTGAATCTGGGAGTCAGGAGGGCTGTGATAATTGTGTCATGTGTGGTTTAGGCAGGGGCTCCGGCCACCTGGTTATCGCTCGCGGCAGAGCGGTGGCTGAGGCGCCTGCGGTGGGGTGAACACGCGAGAGCAGCGGCGTCCCTGTCGTAATGTGACTGGACCGTCATCATGACATCAGGTCAAAGGTCAGCTGAGAGGTAGCGGGCCACGAGTGTGGAACCTGGGCAGCCAACACTGAACTTTTGCTCTTGGTCACATGTGGTTATTAGTAAAGCTGTATTTCCTGAGAATGTGCTCTTCAGCAGGAAAATATGCCCCAGCTGTTACTAGTTAATGGTTTTGTGACTGTTCAGTGGTGGAATATTGCCAGAGTTCATGTACGGTCCATTAAAATGGTGGAGGTTTCAACCCTCCATACCCTCACTGTATGAGACGTGTGTCTGTTCAGAAGCTTTCTGGTTCAAATCTCATTGTTGGCAAAGCAATAGTAATATCAGTGCTGGGTCCCCCAAACCTGAAGAAGGCTCCTGGGACACCAAAAATACAGATGACCTGTGCTCTGACCTGACGTCTGAGAAAGGCAGAGACACAGGCGACCTGTGCTCTGACCTGACGTCTGAGAAAGGCAGAGACACAGGCGACCTGTGCTCTGACCTGACGTCTGAGAAAGGCATAATTCTTAAACTCTGGACTACAAATGAAAATCTCATTCAGAAAGAGTAAAATATGATGCAAGTATGAGCACAAGGTCTGCATGGTCATCCACAAATGACAGGAAGTCAGGGGTTTTCTGAATGATGTAATTCAGGCCATAGCTGAGCTTCTTCCTGGTAACTCAGATGTCCCCTAATCCTCTTTCCAATTGCCAGCTTCCATGACCAGTGATTAAATATCTCATATACATGACACTTAATTAAACATTGAAGTAAAACAGAAAAGCAGTGTTCTGTACATGCAGTCGGGTCAAACTTGTCCCTTTTTTAAATGTTAAACTGGCGAGTTACTCAGTAATTCAAACATATTACAAGGTGTAGTAATTCCCTGTCACTTTACTTATTGCTAAAAATCTATAGAATACTAATTTTAAAATTTTGACCTTGTTTAGCTTCTGTGTGTATGTGAGGAAGACTATATCTGGGTTTACTTTAGTCCTTTTGCTGTGTGTGTGTGTGTGTGTGTGTGTGCGTGATGAAAACCTTTTTGACTTGTGATTATTTTTCAATCCTGCGCAAGGGAAACTCAATTTTATAAAAATCTGTGACTGCAATCAAAAAACAAAGAATGCCAAAAGTCTTGTATTTCCTTTGGGTACTTGTGACTAAGGTTAGGGCTGAATAGGGGTTAAGGTCGTCATTGTTGGGATTAGGGTTTTCCCATAGAAATGAATAGACAGGCCCCAGAAAGATATCCAAGTCCAATCATGACAGACAGACAGACAGAGAGACAGACAGAACTGACACATTGTTCCTTTTTCAGGAAGACCATGGCCCCACTGCGCTGAAGGGCTCTTCAGATCTCGGTAAGACTTCAGGTCTTTGATCAGTACAATCATGGACCATTGGTGACACAGCAGAGAGGGGCACCTAAAAGGCTGCATGCACAGCGCTCCCTCGAATGTCTTAACAATATGTCTTAACCAGCAACCCTAACCCTAACACCTAGTGAGTAAGCCACAGAACACATTTTAGAAATAAACAATAACTGTGAGCATGGCCACCGCCTCGTCCCCAGCTTCCCAGTTAGCTCTCTAGATTATTCCTATGTAGAAATTCCTCTCACTGTAAATAAGGGTGAAAACCTGCTGATTTTGGGGATATTTGTGTATTGAAGTTGTCCTGTTGGTAAGTTTTTGATGGGCTCTAAGACCTGGACAAGCTGTCAATGTTAAAACTGTGTTTCTGTTCATGGTTTTCCACACACAACAGAGAACAAAGTCATAGTTCCTGGCAAAAACAGAATGCAAGCGTCTGTGAGCCCATCCAAACCTTCGGCTCACCTCACGGGTAAGACCCCTTCTCCATTTGCCCTGAGCTAAAAGTTTAGCTAATCTTTGTGGGAAATCCCGGAATAGCGGGCAGCCTGAAGGCTCCGAGTGGATGTCCTCTGTTGACAGACACACTCCTGGTCTGAGTCACAGGCAGGATGCTCATTTACTGTAAGGAGAGGGCGAGATAATGTCTGTTTGAGTCAGAGGTTTGCCGTTTGTCCTTTTTATAATTTGCCATAAAAATGTTGAGATTTACAACAAATATCCATGCCTATAACATTTCTTTGTTCTATTTTTCATATTTAAAAAAATGTACATTTGCTTAATGGTATGTAATTTCACTCTATCGTGCAACACATATATGTACATAGGTGCAGTCAGCCCTCGTGCATTTGCGATTCACAGATCCGCGAAAATTTCATTGGAACCGAACTTATTTGCATCCGCGATTTTTTCACACATCTGCGAAATTCTTGACAATTATAAACTACTTGAAAGGTGCTAATGTTTACGTACATAGCAAATGTGTCCCGGGTTTCCCTCTCGAGACACATTTGCTATAAACACTGAACGTACATGTTTCCTTTACGTATTGTATTAAATTGTACCTCGGTTACGTATATAACTTCTGTCAATGAGTTTACAGTCCCGTTCATTTACTCATTTACCTTAGTGTGAATGCAAAAGAAAACGGCAGCCAATGCCGTGTTCTATGAATTATTAGGGGTAACATTAGTATACTGTACTGTAAATGTACTAGTGTGACAAATATCCGTTAGGCTATACTGTACTCTATTTTTACATCAAACATTTGTTTTTTTAAAGGTAATGTACTAAGCTAAATTTTAAATGGCATATTTAGGGTTTAAACTATAGAAATAAGCACATATTACCATTTTTAGTGACTCTACCAACCATCCACGAATCTTCCTCACTCGTGACGGGTTCTGAAACCTAACTTCGTGAATGTCCGACGTCTGACTGTACATTAAAGGAAGATTTTCACAGCATGATTGACATAATTTAATAAATATTTTTTCTGATATTAAACAACTATTAAGGAACCGGCACCTGTAATGTAATGTAATGAATTGATATACTGAGAGACTGAGAGAGATAAGGCACCTTTGGAAAATGAGTAAAAATAGATACTGGGCCCTTCAGCTAACCACTTCCTCTCCTGCCACGGTAACCTAGTGTTCAGCCTTAGGGGGTAGAATGTACAGCCTACAGAGTCACAATAGTCCAGAAAATGCTTAGTGTCTGCAGTTTTTAGGTGCTCTATGCCTTGATGACCTGAGGTCTCCATCACACGTGTGCTCTTTGTAGCTATCAGAACATTGATATTCGCCATTATTATTAGATACATCTACAGGGAAACAGCCTGCATGCTATGGGATATTTATTCACAGCATTATTGAACAAATTTCAATGTGGTTTCATTTGCTGTGAGAGATTATAACAAAATAACATCACAGAAGACTGAAGTGGCCTGGGGTGATCTTCTTCAGAAAAGAGCTTCTCTCGAAAGCCGTGTATGAACCCTAAGAGTTCAGCTTCTCTCCTGTTTTGCTGGCTTAATTGATACTTTAATCCATAGCAGTAGATGTTCGGGCTCCAGTAATTCACTATGGAAGCCATTCCACATTTACCCAGACGGCCATTCACAGCGGGTTCCACAGCAATGTTCCTCTAGAAGCCCAGTGGATGTATCAATCAATCAGTCCATCAATCAGTCAATCATGCTAGTAAGTAAAAGCCCTGGAAAATAACGTTTTCAACTGGACCTAAAGGTGGTTACCGAGGGTGCTGACTAAAACTGTAATGGCAGGCTGTTCCATAGTCTGGATCGAGGAATAGTACGACTGCCCTCCTCAATCAGTCACGCTAAAACAGCTCCCTTCTCATTGTCATCGCTTGCAGGGAGCAGCAACAACGGGCTCCTCATGTGGGGCGAGTTTGGGGATGCCTTCCTCCATGACATGAAAATCCAGGACAACAAGCTGTACGTAACCAAAGAAGGATTCTACTACATCTACTCCAGCATCATGTTCATAGAGCCACACCTTGGCCCGTTCAAGCACAGTGTGCTGAGGCACACACCGCGCTACGGCAGCGAACTGGAGCTCATGAAGGCCATATGTTACAGCAGCCAGGAGCAGAAGATGAGCAACATGCGAAACAGCTACCTGGGTGGGACCTTCCGCCTCTACGCCGGCGACAGCTTGTCCATCAAGCTGGAGAACAACACGCTTGTGCGACACCAGCTAGTCACCGACAACTTCTTCGGCGCCTTCATGATTTAAAGGGGCAGCAGATCGGCCAATGCTCGAGGCTTGGCAACCTTGGCTTCTCTGCTTTTGCGACAGGTCACCCCACATGCAAGAAATCCGGTCACCAAATGGTCGTAGAGATTACATAGACTCTTGGCCACGTTGTCTTAAGCAACCCTTGACTCACACTCACCTCAGCTTGCCTGATATTCAGGTGCGAAAACACGGCTTGCACAAGATCACTCTTTTTTATTTATAGAGGTGGACAGTATATAAACAAACTCAACCATGCATTTCAGCTTATGATCCGGGCTCTGAAGCTACCAATCACAGCTGCATTCTCACGCATCTATTTATAGGCAGAGCCCTGGGGGAGCCATCAAGTGATGGGATTCATTCTGCTCGCTACTGCTTGGTCACTGTAACAGATTATGTACTCCTTTTCAATCCCATTATTTTATCTCTATTTTTGGCACTTAGGAACGCACTAAAATTAAGCCATGTGGAATCGATGTGTTCATGTGCTTGTTGTTTTTCATCTTTCTGTACGTTGTTTTATACTGTAGCTGGGGCTTGTCTGACGTCCACATGAAAGACGTATAATTGCATGATGCCGTAATCCGAGAGGACTAAGGACACCAAGAATTTAGGCATATTTTCCAATCGTCCCCCTTACACTCAGTACACAGAAGCCCTGGCCCATAACAGTGACCCACTCTCATTTGATAAATTCCTGATGATCACCTGCATCACTGGTTAACCAGCTACAGAGCTGTTACTGGTTAACCAGCTACAGAGCTAACAGTGGCTAACTGGCTACAGAGTTGTCAGTGGCTAACTGGCTATAGAGCTGTCACTGGCTAACTGGTTATAGAGTTGTCATGGGTTAACCAACTACATAGCTGTCATTGGCTAACCGGCTACATAGCTGTCATTGGCTAACCGGCTACATAGCTGTCATTGGCTAACCGGCTACATAGCTGTCATTGGCTAACTGGCTATAGAGCTGTCATTGGCTAACTGGCTATAGAGTTGTCATGAGTTAACCAACTACAGAGCTGTCACTGGCTAACTGGCTACAGAGCTGTGACTGGCTAACCAGCTAGCTGGAGCCCAGGAAGGACTAACAGGTTTAAACTGCGTGCTGTGTGAAAGAAGCTCCTCAGTTTGGTATCACTGACCTCAGTGGCTACAGATTAAGACAGGAGGCTGACAGATTTAACATGCTCTCCCTAGTTCATGGTTCATGTGCACTGTACACTGATATGTTTTTTCCCCCAGATATTATGTATATAATGCTTATATTTATTTATTCATTTCACCAGTGAAGAAATCCCTATGCCTTTTACAAAGTCTTGGTAAAAAATAAATCTGCTGTAAAATTAGGCATCATAAAAGGAAAGAAATAAATGAAATGAATTAAATAAATAGTGAAATACACCATGGAGGCTTTGCTGTTTTGGAAATGTTTCTTCTTGTTGGCGGGATGTGCTGCAGTGTCTTCACCACAATGCCAGATGCTGGCCTGATCACAAGAGTGCAGTTCTCACGCGCCGCGGAGCAGGAGGTGAAGCTGCAGGTAGGATGGAAGGCTGAGTGTGCAAAAGGCTGCAGCGTGACCCATTTATGCACTTTGCAGTGGCTGCTACGTGCAGAGGTCCTGCTTTGTCACCTGAAGCGTGGTTATGCCATGAGTAGGATAATGCCCAATGTGCTGTGCGTCCATGTGTCTGTGTGTGTCTGTGTCTGTGTGTGTGTGTGGGTGTGTCTGTGTGTGTGTGTGTCTGTGTGTGTGTGTCTGTGTCTGTGTGTGTGTGTGGGTGTGTCTGTGTGTCTGTGTGTGTGCGTGGGTGTGTCTGTGTGTGTTGGTGGGTGTGTGTCTTTTTGAGTGTGTTTATGTATCTGTGTGTGTCTGTGGATTATGTTTATGTTACATTTTGGGGATCAAATGTCCCCCACGATGTAATAAAAACAATTTTTGTCTGTCTTTTTGAGTGTGTGTGTGCGTGTGTGTGTGTGTCTCTGTGTCTATGTCTTTTTGAGTGTGTGTGTGTGTCATTGTGTCTATGTCTTTTTGAGTGTGTGTGTGTCTCTGTGTCTATGTCTTTTTGAGTGTGTGTGTGTCTCTGTGTCTATGTCTTTTTGAGTGTGTGTGTCTGTGTCTCTGTGTCTATGTCTTTTTGAGTGTGTGTGTGTCTCTGTGTCTATGTCTTTTTGAGTGTGTGTGTCTGTGTCTCTGTGTCTATATGTTTTTGAGTGTGTGTGTGTCTCTGTGTCTATGTCTTTTTGAGTGTGTGTGTGTCTCTGTGTCTATGTCTTTTTGAGTGTGTGTGTGTCTCTGTGTCTATGTCTTTTTGAGTGTGTGTCTGTTTGTGTTTGGCTTTATCTTCCCCTGCTATTTACAGAAAGTACCACTGCTGCTTCCGTAATCACCAGCCGCTCTCACTGCGCTGCAGGGACTTTTGCCGGTAACAGCAACCGAGAGAGTGGTCAAGGGCCTGCCCACACGACACATTTCCATGCCGACGCTGGGACAGGCCGCACTGCACCCCCAGTCTGAAAAAACAGAAGGCAGAGCAGCGGCCACAGGTGGCCTCAGAGAACTCCACCCTGTGTAACCAGTAGAGGTTGCATTTTTATAAATATTGTATGTGCTTTATTTTTCAGTTTTATTAAATATATCAAGAAGTTTTTCTTTGCTTTTACTGTGTATTTTTGTATTTTAGTTGTTTGGAAAATGATTTTATCTTTATGTATATTTACAGTGATCTTGTTGTTATGCATTGTCCCTGTCAAATAAACCATTAAAAAAGAAACAAATCGAGCAGTAGCATAGCTTAGCTAGCTAACTTGAGATTAGATGGATAGACAGACAGAAAGAAAGAAGTAAAAGAAAAAAATGATTGTTTATTATTTCTGTGACTCATCTGTCACGTATCTGTTGTTGTTGAGATGAAATGAAATGAAAATGGAAGCAGTGACAGAGGAAGTCTGTGATTGGGGGTCTCTCTCCTGTCACCTCTGGCCACAGTGCTGCTGGTGACATGTAACATGTTTAGGTGTCTTTGTGTGCAAGACCTCGCGTGTGCCCCATCTCACTGTGCCCTGAGCCTGTTCAGGTGTCTCTGCGTGCAAGACCTCGCGTGTGCCCAGTCTCACTGTGCCCTGAGCCTGTTCAGGTGTCTCTGCGTGCAAGACCTCGCGTGTGCCCCATCTCACTGTGCCCTGAGCCTGTT